AACATCAATAATTAAGAATTTATAGAAATATTTTTATTGATAAAAATAAAAAATTAATTACTAATTAAAATAATTTATTAATACTACAAACTCTAACTTCTCCTCTTGCAAATCAAATCCTTCCCTTTACTCTTTCCCTAATTTTAGATCTTCACCGCTCTTCCTATTGAACCTAGGTAATGGATTAACCAAGTTATGAAGTTCATAGCAACACAAATTTATCACCTGTAATTTCAAACCTAAGTACAACTAGGTTCATGATGAACCCAAATTGAACACAATCTAGGTTCAAATTGAACATGAACCCAGAACTTGGGTTTCATGGTGAACCTAGATTTGGTTTCATCTTTCTATCGTTTACAACCCATTTTCAAGAAAGGTTAAAAAAAAAAAAAAAATTCATTGCAACCCAAATCTGGCTTCATCTTTCCATCACCGAAGACCTTGCCCTTGCTTCTTCAAGGCATCCATTCCCTTGAAGAAATGTCATAAAGGAGAGAAGAAATTTTGCAGAGGAGAGAAGAAATTCCAATCAGACCCATTACAACCATCCATCCCCGTCTCCATTCCCTCACCACCCACCCATGCGCCTCCACCTTGCTTCACCCCATTATGCCTTTCTCCTATTTTGCAAACCACAATCTGCCCCTGTCCATACTCACCATCACGCTTGACTTTGAGTTCAAGAAAGATGACCAACAAGTCTTGCAAGCAATGGAAACGAGGATGATGAAGAGGATGGCAAAGATAACAATGACAATGATAATTTGAGGATAAGGATGAGGACAAAGAAGAAGACGAAGAAATTAAAGTTAATCTTGTTTAAATTTATTAATTCATATATTAAGAAATAAAATTTTTAATTTATACAAGTGATTCAAGATATTTAGATGAATGCTTACATGGATTTATAATTTTGTCCACATAATATTTTTTTTAATAGCATGGATTTCCACATCATTTATATAAAAAAATAATCAAGTGATTCTGTTAATTAATGTTACACGTCAGCAAAAATCTGATGGATGGACCAAAAAGGGGTTGAAAAATAAACCTGAAGGACTAAAAGAGGGTTTTTAAGTATAGAGACCAAAAAGGACCTTTTCATCAAAGCAAAGGGACTAAAATGGAGTTTTAACCCAATACCTAATATAAAAACAAGTTAGGCCAAGCGAGTCTTACATACCGTTTGGATAGAAAATAGTAAAGGGAAGGGAAGGGAGGGGAATGGAGGAAAATAAAAGGAAATGGAGGGGGAGGAAAAGAAAGGGAAGGGAAGAAAATAGAAGGAAATGATTTGTGTTAATTTTGTTTGGATAAATAAAAATGAGGAAGGGGAAGGGAAGGGAAAGATTGTATTATTTTATGTTTGGATAATTAAGGTAAAAGGAAGGGAAGGAAGGAAAAGATTTAAATTAATTTTAAATTTACAAATTTCTCCTTTAAACTTGTAATGGAGAAGGATATAATAAAAAAAATTAAGGTTAATTTTGTAATTACATTTAATCTAATCTAAACAGTCACTCAAATCTCTCCCAAACCCTCCAAATTGAGCGGATTGCAAATCTGCAGATTTGAGGGTAGTTGGAGGGAATCCGAATCAGTCCATCTCCCTCCCCCTCTGCTTCTTTGGAAACCCAAACAGGAGAAAAGAGACAGCCCCCCCTCGCTCCCCCTCCCTTGCCATCCATCCCCATCCGTTCCCCTCCCTCTCCGTCCGACACCTTCAATCCAAACAATACCTTAAGAAATAGACATCCATAATCAATTATCAGGCTAAAACCAACATTTAGTCTGTTACCTTACAAAATTAGTAAGTTTTAACTTACTCTTATGATATGACACTTTTAACCCTTTACCTTACAAAGTTAATAAGTTTTAACCCTTCACCTTATATTATAATACTTTTAACCCTTTATCTGTAAGAATTGAAAAAAATAACCCTTATTTAACATCAAGTTTTAATGTCCTATTAGTTCTGTTAACTGACTATTAATTCTATTAACTGACTGTTAGTTCTGTTAGTTGACTATTAACATCCGTTAACATTCTGTTAATAAAACTAATAAATAGAATTGAATTTAAATTTCATATTTTTTATAATGGAATGCTAACAGATGTTAACAATCAACTAACAGAACTAACAAAACGTTATAATATGATATTAGGTGAAGATTATTTTCTTTAATTCGTATCGGTGATAGGCTAAAAATATCAAAATATAAGGTAAAAGGTTAAAACTTATTAACTTTTATAAGGTGAGGGGCTAAAACTTACCAACTTTGTAAAATAAAAGACTAAAATTGTCATGTTATAAGATAAGAGGTTAAAACCTATCAACTTTATAAGATAAGGGATTAAATGTTGATTTTTACCAATTACCGTACCTGAAAAAGGAATCCGTGCCACTTGCTGGGCTCAGTCTTCAAAGAAATTAATTTTCACCCTCGCCTTTTCTGCATGCAAGCTGGCGAGGGCATGCTTCAAAGTAAAATATACATGGACAAAAGAGAAGTCAAAAGTGGACAGAAACACCATTACTCGTTCAAGCTGTTCGCAGTTTGAGAAACCAACAGCAACTACATACCAATTGGAAGAAAATAAATCCTACCACAGACGGTATGTCACTCCGTATGATAAACCCACAGTCCCAAACTTTCTTTAATGCCTTCCACCAAACGCGCCAAACACTTCCAAGTGCCGGCCAAGTTTCTGAGGGATTTTTTCTTTTTAAACATCTGTCTCCCAACTAAATATTTAGTTTTGGAACCATACGGTACAAGTGAACTTTTAAAATTAGAAGGATTCGATACATTTAGAATTCAATGACAAAGAAAGTAGATGCAATTAAATTGAGCAACTTTATTTTTATAACTGAGAAACAAGTTCTATACAACAATTATGGTGTGAAATACTGCAAAATGAAAAGCACAGTAGAGGCATTGATGTGATGCGATGCCAAAAAAATCGGGTGAGAAAATTGGTACCTTCTATTGATACAACTCCCCCGAAAAAATGAGGGGCTGCATGTCCTATATCATTCACTATTTTCAGGCATATCTCCATTGGGCAACAGTTTAGCCTGTGATCTTGTTCAGGAAGAGCAGAATCAGCAAGAACAGAGAAAATTCAATCATGAAGTTAGGACCCCTCACATGCTCATGAAGTTTCTGCCACCTGTAAGTTCAACCAGTAGATAGCTGCTGGTGAAGCCTGTTGTCCATTTTAGGGTCTTTATCATAATCAGAGTAAATTATAAAAAGGTTTTCTTGATATCCAGGCAGCACTATAGCCAACTGACATGCAAGACAAATCATAAATGCTGTGAAATGCAAGCTGACAATTTTAAACGAATGCTATTGTCTATGTTTTGAAAGAAGGAAAAAGAAGTTTAGTAACAACAGAAAATAATAAGATCAAACCCACAGCCTAATACAATAATCTTCAGAAATAATTATTGCCAAACAGCTACTAATGCATGTCTTTGAATTACTGCTAACTGATCTTGCTTGTTATCTTTAAATGGGCAAAAGCTGGTCTGCCCAAATTCTTCTCCCTTACAGGCAAATTTTCGGGAATCAGGAGGCATTCATAACTTTGATTGAGAAATGTAATTAAATTCCAACAGAAGGAACCATTTTCATCATTAATTCATTACTTACGCCCAGACCTAAAAATAGTATCATAGAACCTGATTCGGTTGTATAAACAATGCAATTTAGGTTTTACTAGAAGAGGAAGCAACAGGTAACAAACATTATTCTTATCAAAATAAATAAATAAATAAATAATAACAAAGATTACAGTAGTTTAGAAGCTCTTACCAATTGCCTTTAACAAAATTGTTCCTCTCATTTTCAATTTCCTCCCTTGCAAATTCTTCTAAAATAAAACGTTGACGTTCATTTATTGCACTGAGAAAGAGAGTGCAGAGATGTGAGGGTAAACATTATAGAGAATAATAACTTAGTAAAATTTACTCTCAGACATATAAAACATTATTTCAGTATAAAGGCCATTACTTCAAAGTTAATCTTCCCATCTGTTTGTGTCATTTGTTAATTAAGCAATACACATTTTCAATCCTATTATATAACACATAATCTAGGGAAACTATAGCATAAATACACCCTCATCACCAAGCAAATTGTACTAAGTTACTCTCAGACATATAAAACATTATTTCAGTATAAAGGCCATTACTTCAAAGTTAATCTTCCCATCTGTTTCTGTCATTTGTTAATTAAGCAACACACATTTTCAATCCTATTATATAACACATAATCTAGGGAAACTATAGCATAAATACACCCTCATCACCAAGCAAATTGTACCGTGAAGCTTCATGTTCCAGTAAAATGTTTCCACTCACATCATGACAAAATACAGTCCAATATTCTCTCTGCTGTGGTAGTGAAGTGAAATCATTTTTAAAATACTGGAATAAATATAATCCTTCATGAAATTATCTAATAGTACTAGAGAAGCTAAAAGAAAAGGGAAAAGAGATATTCATTCATACAGATGTATCACAATCACTGATTTACTCTTTAACTCATTCCCTAACTAAGAATATAAAGACAACCAATACAACAGTGTAAACTGTAATATATTATAAACAAAAGCTTACGTGGGGAAATTAACAACGAAGCGGACAAACAGATCTCCATGATCAACAAAAAACCCATGCTTTGGCAATCCTACAGGAGCTTACAAGGTAAGAAATCTTTTGTGGGAAACTTTCATAAAAAACTAACACCAAGAAAGGAAACTGGTTCAAGATACCTTTCCCTCTTACAACAAGACGTTGGCCAGGCTGAACTCCTTTTGGTACCTGCGAATACCAATGAGGTAAAATGAATGCAATGGTAAATGCAAAAAATAGTGCTGGCTGGCATGCCAAGAGTTTTATTAACCAAGAGATGGTCTCCAGAAATACAAGGATAAAATATAATATGGTAGGGTTTTTTTCAAATATAAATTATTCTTTTTAACATAAATAAAAAGGACAATGATTACCCAGGAAAAAAAAAAAACCTTAACTCGCTTCTCTTATACCAGAAAAGTTACACAAACATCTTCCTATGTCCTCGCTATTAATGCTTAACACCATTTAATAATGCATAAAAAGATATAAAAGAAGTTAAAGGCCAAAGTATTACTTTCACTTCTATTTTCCCTGACAATGTTGGCACCTGAACTTTACCACCAAGGATGGCCTGTAAGAAAATCAAAGTCTTAATTATTAACAAAAAAACAAACAAGACATGATAGACTATAGGAAACTGAACTGAGGGATATCTTGCCAAAGCAGTCAGCATCAGAAAATTGTAGCTCCAGGGTCAATATAGTCTCAAGGGAGAAAGACTCATAACTACTGTTAAGTAAAAAACCTCAAGAACTATGAGCACTTAACTAAATTGTAGCTATAGAGGCAATGAATGCAATTATTTTTCAAGATATTATAACAAGGTTCCTTTACAAAGAGAGCAAGAAAACACATGTTTAAAAGTCAACTAGAAATGTCTTTTTAATAACAATAATAGGTAAAGGTAATGCAGAAACAAATCAAGATGAGATGAGAGTAAATTATGAAGTAAAGGATTAAAGAGTAGAGAAGTAAATAAGTAAGGGTTGCTCGCTGAAAATTTTAAAAGCAGGAAAAATATATCTGACTGGAAGGAAAACCAAACAAGTACAGTAAATATTTAAGATAAAGTTTAAATCCTTACTTGAGTAAAGCTAATCTTAGAGTCCACATAAACATCTGCCCCATCTCTAGAAAATATGGGATCATCAGCTACCTATATTAGAAAAACAAAGTTCAATAAACCCCATTCAAATCAAGTATGGTTTCAAAAAAGAAAGATGCCTGCCAAATAAAATGGAAAGCAAGAGATACAAGGAAGAAAGTAAGTTGGACGTGCCAGTTAACTAGAAATTACCGTAACTAATACCATTTTTATCTAAAAATATAAGTCATGGGCTACTGAGGTGTGCAGTAATGCAGATAGGAAACTGTGTAAATAAAGATTAGTTTCTTTTCCTCCTTTCTTCATGTCAATCATTTGTGGAGAAGGAAAATGTTTCTTTTCTTTTCTTTTCTTTTCCCATTTTTCATTTATGGATATTGTCTTAAGAGGATCAGACTACATATGCCATAACATCTGTCCTTGTCCTCACAACATTAAACCTCATTAACTGAAATTACATTATCATAATCTTCTAAAAATGAGGAGCAAAACATGAAGCTACAACTGAACATATCTTTAAGTGACCAAACCTTTGAGCAGACTTTATAATAGATTAAGGAATATGAAAGACTGTGCCTTTAGTTTAATGAATAAGTCACCAGGATGACTTCCTCTTCGTGAAATATTACCAGCTCCAGGTACACGTATTGTATCTCCAGAATCCATGCCTAATCCATAAAAGAACATTCAATGATTCCATCACAAGAACTATGAAGACAAAAAGGCACATAAAATGCAGAACTTAGCCTGTCTTTTTCAACAAGATGGTATAATCAACAACAAATATATCACTGGGAAAGCATCAAGCTTTCTCAAGAGATAGTCCTCAATGAAAAGACATGGCAACATAGCATTGGCAAGGTAAACCTCAAACAAGTTGGATGTAGCTACAAATATTATCCTAGAAAACAATATACTTAACCATATTAGAATCTATAAAGTCCACATTCAACTCCTTTCCATGAACTGATAAGAACCAAAAACACCCTCTGCCACCAGAGCTAGAAAAAACTAACCTGCTGGTATTGAAACTTTGACCTTTTTAACGCCTTCAACCACCCCTGATCCTCTGCATGACATACAGTATTCCTGTACCAGATTATAACCATATTTAATACTAGGTGCAAAGTGAAATTTAATAGTCATGAATTGAAGTTTACATCAGACCTTAATTATCCGTCCTGACCCTCTACAAGTACCACATGTTGTTGTGAATGGAGGAATTGTGACCTGGTTTGGAAGATAGCAGAAATAGTTAACCAACATGTTTAATTCCACATTATCAGGGAAAACATGCAGTTTCAAAAAATGAACCCCAAGGATTTTTCCACTGATCATCATCTAAATTGTTCTTCAAAGCACTTACACTTCCCGTGCCTCCGCAAGTTGGACAAATTTTCATTTTGGCACCAAGAGGGTAGCCACGCCCATCTGTATCATGAAATAAACAAGGTACAAGGAAACTGCATCACTTATAAGAGTTAAATAAACAGTGGGAAAGAAAAATTTATCACCTATTTAATTACTTTTAGCCCACGCTGCTCAACGGAGAGAGAGGAAGAGAGGCCAGAGAATGGAGAAAGAAAGTGGAAACAAATAATTGAAAAGAGTTTATATGACCAGGCGTGAGAAAAATGGATGGCTTAGACAAAGTAACCAATCAAGTCAATTCCTACATGGTCCCAAAGCAAAATCTTTTAGGAAGATACAGGTCCTAAGTTTAGGCTAGGTGTGAGCCATGGACACAGTGATCACTCATCCATTCTGATCAAAGTACCGCAAAGAAGGATGAAATGCATTTTTTAAGAACAGAAATTAATTAAGAAAAAGTTGAATACAATCATATCCGAAAAAGTTTCTCCTTCAACAATTTCTTTTACTGAACATATCTTTCCCACCTTTTAACGTTTGATGCAGCCAAGAAATCTCTAAGTTCAAGTGATGGTTTTTTTTGGTTTAACTTCAACTTGATGCTTGTCTCCAAAGCTCAGGGCATCAGTAATTGTACTGAGTTCTTATTGTTCAATGGTTATCACAAGCAGGTCTCACTTCTTTACAGACAAACAGAAAGAGTCAAGAAATAAGCTTTCTGCAATCAACTATTTGTCAGAATTCTGGTCAAACTTGATTTCTTATCACAACAAAAACCGAAGACCAAACATTAAATTAACAACAAATTTTCCAGTAAACATCTTGGGGGAAGAAAAGGAAAAGAATCATGCATATAGTAAACTGCCATGCTACTATGGTGTTTCAAGGAATTCCACAAATGATGACTCTATAAAATTTTTGTTCTACTTACCACAAGAATCACAGGGAACATATGCATCAAAAGTTAAGTCCTTTGTGCATCCTTCCGCAGCTTCAGAAAAAGAAAGCAACAACTCCATCTAAAATTCATATAGAATTGGACATACATTTAAGCATAGAAATAAAAGACATCAAGTAGGTAAAAAATTAGGAATATTGGGAAGCATATTGACCTGAATATCTTGTGCAAATTGATCTATCTCATCATCAAAAATCTGCAGGCCATCAAATGAATTTTAGTTTCAGTACTCCAGAAGTTAATAGGACAAGTTTCATACAGAACTGAATGGAAAGAAAACAAGAAAAAGCACCTCAGAGAATATCTTTTGGAATGAATCAGAGAAGTCATTTCGAGAGGCATATCTAAAGTCTTGTGTGTTTCTTGCAGCATATCCTGCATCTTCCAAACCTGCAGCACGCATCTTGATCCAATAGACAGAAAACCATTCAATTAGTTAAGAAACCTCTAACAGGACACAGGCATGAGATAGCTTATATAGTCACATTTAAAAGTTCCAAAGAAGGACAACACCGACTACTGCATGAAAACTGAAATAACCACTGTAGAACTTTTTTTTATTGGGAGGGGGGAGAGAGGGGGAAGGAGTTAACTGTTACCCTGTCATATTCTGCTTTCTTCTCAGAATTGTGCAAAGTCTGCAGTCAACCAGAGCAAAAAGGGTGAATGAAGTATCTTGAATAAAAGTTTTTCAGCCAGATAAACACCACTCTATTGTACAAGGACCAGTATGCCGAAATGAAGATATCCAGATACATGCATACTCATTCAATAAAAATAAGGTATAGAATTATATGATCCATAATAAGGCATGGGTGGCATTCACTGAGGACAAAGTAAAAAAGGATTGCTGGATATGATTCGAGCACTAATGTTCTAAACCTAGAAATGCTCCAGCCAAAAGATTGATTTGATTAGCGTAGATAATGAAGAAAGGTAGAAGCAAGCAGGAAATGAAAAAGGTTAAAGTAGCATTGAAGACTTAGTACTTTTAGCTCTTCCAAATGTATAGCAGTTAATGGAAAAAATAAAATGAAGAGAACAGCTTCCCACAACTGTTTTCTAGGCTGAAATTCGTACAATGAAAAACAACTTTCTCAAAAAAGAATTTTGATTTGATATTTTTTTTTTTTTTTTGTGTCATTAATGTATGAAGAAAGGTTCTCAGTGGTCATAGCCAAACAACAAGTACAAACCTCGTATGCATCTCTGATCTCCTGAAATTTCCTCTTTGCAGAAGGATTATTCTTATTTGCATCAGGATGGAATTTCTTGGCAAGCTACAAAAGTTATGGGAACATTAGAAACTCAAATAGAGAATGATAACATATCAGTTAAACCATGATTTACAAGCAGTATTATTTAATCCAAGCAAACGTCATAGCAATAGTATAATGTGTATGAAGGGAAGAGGGCTCAATGATTTTAACCCCAAATGCTTTATGTATTTCAGTTTATCATCAGTTGTCATAGTCATACACTAAAATCTAAAGGCTTTCTCATAAAAAAGTAGACACTCTTGTTGACTTTCAACAATGCCATACGCCACATGGTAAAAAAGAAAACAAAGAACAAAACATTCCACAAAGTTTCTTTATAGTTATCACTCCAAACATACATAGATAATACCATGAACCAGATCATAATTACTAAGTCTCTCACCTCCAACTACTTACTTATACCTATCCAAAATTACATGATAAAATACATGTATTTCTGTATAGAAACAACATGACATACAAACAATGTCAATGCACTTACGGCATGATAGGCCTTTTTAATCTCTTCTCGGCTGACATTCTCGGACACACCGAGAATTTCATAATAGTCTTGTTTAGCAAAGTAGCATGATCCTGGAATATACATCAAGCTAGTAAAGATTAGTTTTCCTTTTGTCTATTTCTTTAAAAAACAATAATTAAAAAGATGAAGATCACCTGTTGCATGAATATAGCGCCCTCCCAATGGCTTCCCGAACTCCTTGAAATCAACATGTTTTCGGATAACAGAGCTACGACTGTGTATACCTTATTCGAGAAAGCAAAAGCATCATTTCTGTTTGCTGAGTAGAGAACTACCTTTATGTAATTAACTCACTTAGGATAGCAGTGAGCTTACCTCTTTCTTGAATTAATGAATCGCTAAACACAGAGAGTCCCCTCCGCCAAACGCCGCCATCAACTGATGATTGCCTCGCCGTCGTTGATAGCAAATGCCGCCGATACTGCACGGCATGAATCCAACTTAAGAAATCGAGATTCCGAAGTGAAAATTTATAATTAAAAATATAAAATTCATCATCTTACTACCCCTAGCCAGCTGAATCTTCTCATCTTGAACTCAAAATTACTGCAAAGTATTTTTCTACAGCGAAATTTGAAAATGTTTTAAGAAAAATGTTATGCGTTGAATGGCGTTGAAGTTCAAGAGATAAAAGAATTAGAAGATTCGTGTTGAACAAGAAAATCAGATTCGGGTTGGTCCACCGGTTTCCGCCATTCCGGTGGAGCGGGGAAATAGTTTGTCCTGGTGGCGGGTTAAAAGTCCAGGCCAACGACAGGGGTTTTATGAGAAAAAGGGGTTTCATGAGAAAAAGGGGTTTCAGACTTTGAACAGATTGTGTAGGGTTTTAGTCCAAAACGGCAGCGTATTGATACATGATCTTGATTGCGATATCCACGTAGTCAACGGACGAGATCTTCGCAACGCTGTTCTCAACATCGAACAGCACCACTCTGACGATAGAGATGGTTAGCCTTCAACCCAGTCTCACCTCTCAAACAAAATTTTTATAGCAAGAGTAGTTTAATGGTAATTTTATTTTGTTGGAAATTAGA